AGTCCTGAGCAGGCCTTCAGACAGGTACCAGCTAACCACGCTGTTATGGCTGCCAGGATTTCTTTTTCTCCAGCCTAGTGGTACTGTGGACCTGTTTGGAGCCTGGAGTATTACAGAAAAGACAGCCACTGATCTGGTTTGGAAACCAATAGGAGGGCATTCTATTGACTTTATGATGCCTTCAGGGATCAATAAGTCAAGAAAATGAGGAAGGCTTAGATGGTAAAAAAAAAAATCCCTCTCCTGCTGTAGCATTGCACATTCCCCTCCCAGTTCACCAGCCCCTTCTCCGTTCATGGACACCTCACTCCCTATGACAGGTTATCGTCAGAGTTATTGTCAAGAGAGATAGGAAACCAAACTGACAATGTGAACTCCTGGGAGAATTTTGTCCTCAGAGGGCCCAGCTAGTGCTCTCTGGGGCCTCTTGGCATCTTCTAGAACCTCCACCAACCACAGATCTTCTGATAATTGACCAGGTCAATTGAGGCTCTCACCCCATCTTGGCACCAAGGTCACGGGTCTGGTCCTCACTCAGGCTTGGCATCAATAGATAAGATGCAAAGTTCCTTAAGTTTTACAGATCAACAAGGGAAAGTGCAGTTACCTCTAGGGGGATTAATTAGTTATCTACTGCTGCCTAACAAATTATTCTAGAATTCAGGTCTTAAAACAACAAACACTTATTATCTCTCCATTTCTCTTGGTCAGGAATGCGGAAGCAGCTTGGCTGGGTGGTTCTGGGTCAGGATCTCTCATGAGGTTTCAGTAAGCTGTCGGCCAGGGCTGCACTCAGCTGGGACTGGAGGATGACCTTCCGAGCTCACTCACATGGTCATGGCCGGCCTCAGTTCCTCTTGCCTGTTGTCTGAGTACTTTAGTTCCTCACCATGGACCTCTCCACAGGCTACCTGAGTGTTCTCATGTCATGGCAGCTGGATTCCCCCAGAGTGAGTGATGAGAGAGAGAGAGAGTACACCCAAGACGGAAGCCACAGTCTTTTTATGGCCTAATCTCAAAAGGGGCACATGAGCAGTTTTATATTGTTCTATGTGTTAGAGGAAGTCTCTACGTCCAGCCCACACTGAAGGGGTGGGAGTTCATCTCCACCTCTTGAAGGGGGGAGAAGAACCAAGAATTTGGGGATGTATTTTTAAAACTGCCACAAGGACCCGAGTTAATCCCCAAGAGGTGACATGACACAGTGGTTAAGAGCATAGATTTGAGATTCATAAAGACCTGGGTTTAATCGTGGCCCCTACATTTGTTATTTATCCAGGTTTAGACAAGTCATTTGACCTTTCTAGCCCTCAATTTCCTAATCTATAAAATAGGGGTAAGAATAGGAGGTGTTTCGTTGGGTTGCTATGAAAATTAAATAAGATCATATGTATAAAGTGCCTGGCACAGAATAAGTATTGAATAAATGTGACTTAATTGCTATTGTAACTGGGTCATATTATTGTCCTCCTTCACAAGACACAGAATAGCACAGATGTTAAGAACTCAGCTGGAGTCAGACTGCCTGGGTGGGGCCTCTGGCTCTGCCAGTCATTTGCTATGTGAACTAGGGTGAATCACTTAATGTCTCTTGGCTTTGGTTTTCTGTAAAACGAAGATAATAATAGCTAGTGCCTGGCCACCTAATAGGTGTTCAATAAACATTTTATGAATAAGGAAATAATGGATGATAGAGGGATATAATGTGTGTGTGTGTGTGTGTGTGTGTGTGTGTTGGGAGACTACACAAAGTACATTTGACTTCCAATGCCTTCTGTTAACTGGGGAACCTGGTGTGACTGTCCCGGCTCCACTTGAGTGTGCCCTTGTACCCTTGAGCATGTCACCCTCCATGGGCTTCCAGTTTTATCATCCCTTCTGGGTTGTTCTTGGTCTAGTCATTCAGCTTCCTTTCCACCTTCGCTTTGTTCAAGCACACATCCTCATCATCCCTGCCGCCTCCACCAAGACTGTGTTCATTGGCTTTGCAGGAGTCTGGAGATTCAGTGACAGGAGGTGGGGGTGTCCCATGTCACACCACCTCAGAGCTGCTACATTACCTTAAATTGATTTTGCAAATGAAAGCTAAAAGCTAAGCAAAGGCGACCCATCCATTTTGCCTAAAGATGATTATAATGCTCTTTTACGGCCTCCTAAATGACAAAGCAATTTGTTACCTGCCTACATCAACATTTGCTTATATTAGTACCCGAGATGCTTGATTTTTATTAGCCCCACGTTATCATTTTATGAAGACCCAGGGGCTCAGTAAAATTAGTGTGCAAATAGAATGCCCATTTTGCATTTCCCTGTGGTCAGCAGAAATGCTGAATGCAATTGAGTTGATAGCAGGTCAGGAGAGACATCCATAAAGGCAGCCTTCACTGAGGGCCTCGGTAATGCCATTTATCATCTCTGGACTGCTGGGATAGATGGGGTCAATGTTAGACAGTATTTTTTAAAAGGGCTTGGTGGCATTTTGTTTTTTGTTTTTTAAGTGAAAAAGCAAAATAAATACTATCTTGTAGCTGAACTTCCGTCAGCAATAAGGGATGAAACTAAACTCTCTTGTGTACATGGTAGAGGGAAAGGCAGCAGATGCAGAATCTGCTATTGGTAGTGGATCCAGGAGGAGACAGATAGGGGAGTGAGAGGGACACTGGTCTCCGAGCTGGGACTTGACTGTACCACTGCCAGCTGCATGACCCTGGGCACGCCCCTTCCATCTGTGAACCTCAGTTCCCGCCCCTGTAAGATGGGGTTAACACCGTCCTCCTCACAAAGGCATGATGAAGAGTAAATAAGATAATGTGTGTCTAAATTTCTTTATAAACCACGATCTGTGCAAGTATTTTTAATTTATTAATTCAATAGTCAGTTCCTGAGCAGTTCCTGGGAAATACACCATGAAAGTCACAGTTTCTCCCTGGAGGAGCTAATATTCAGTCCAGGAAGCGTTCCGGTGTCTAACTCATCTTTTAAACTATAAACTTCTTTGGAGCAGCTGAGCCTTCTCTCCCTGTCCCTTTGTTCCGAAAAGTGCCTGGCATAGAGCTGAGCAGAGTGAGTTCTCAAGAACATATTTTGGCTCCATTACATTTCTCGCTGCCTTTCAGAGGTCTAGTATTAGGGACGGGGTAACCTCAACCTCTGCTGGTCACCCCAATAGACCAAGCAACTCAAAGCTTTTAGAACCAGGCTTACTAGAGTTGATATGTTTCATTTTAATGTCTGACATTGGTGCATCCACTGTTGGGATTATGAACCACATTCAAAATGACCTGTCGCTAGCATTTGAGAAGCAGAAAGCCTGTGAATTATTTCTACCTGCCCCCCACCCCTGATCATCCTCTAACATGGGTGGAATCCTTTAATCCAACTTCTCTCAGTGTTCATTTCTGAATTTCCTTCCAGTCTATGTCAATTCATCCTTCTTCTGCCTGTGCTGAGTGCCATCTCCCTGCCCCTTCTTTCTGGGACTATCACTCTTGGCTACCGTTTTTGTCTAATAATATCTTTGCCCGATAGCTAAACTTTATTATACAAATGAGACTTCTATAGAGGCAGCAAGAACGTGTGGTCTGATTTGGGGCCATATTTTTCTATGTCTTTGCATGTCTAAAAGTCTTTATTGGACGCTGGATATTGTGAATTACACGTTGTTGGCTATCTGGATTTTGTTGTCTTCCTTTAAAGAGAGTTGGGCTTTGTATAGCAGGCATTTGAGTTTCTTCTGTTTGGTTTGATCCTTTTGAGATTGATTTTAAAGTTTTGTTAGTGAGTCTAGAATAGTTTAGCCCCACCACTAAGGCATTGCCCTTCTGGGGTCTCTACCGAATGCCCTGAATGATCAATGAGCTTCCATTTTGGAGGCGAGAATTCAAATGATCCCTAGCCCCGCGTGTGCCCTGAGAATGGTGCCGTTCACAGCAACCTGGTCATTTTTTTATGACATTGTGGAGGTTCACCCTCTGCATGCACATCTTGGGACCTAACAAAGACTCATTAAGACCCATTTACATATTTCTGGAACGCTTTTCCTACAGAGCTCTCTCTTCTCTGAAACTTACAGAGTTTCCCCGTAACTACCACCTGCTTCTGACTCTCTGAACTTCGATCTCAGTGAGACTTCCATGCTTTGCTCAGGGTACCCCTCTCTACTTTTTGGTCTGCGATGGGCCTCCAGGAAAACAGCCAGGGCAATCACAGGGTACCCCTCATTTGTTTCTCTTTTCTCATGGGTTGGTATTGCTCTGCCTCTTGTCCAATGTCTGAAAACAGCTGTTTTGTATACTTTGTCCAATTTTCTAGTCACTGAAGGTGAAAGAGAAATCTGGCCCCTATTACTTCATCAGGGCCAGACAAGCTCTACCCCTACCTATTAGCTGTGTGACCTAGAACACGTTATATAACCTCTCTGAGCCTCTGTTTCTGCCTCTATAAAAGGAGTTTAATGTGCATGTTTTTGTAAGGATTATAAATAATGTATATAATGTGCCTGACACAAAAGGGGCTAATTAAATGGCAGCTGCTATTACTATTACTAATATAAATGGATACCTTCTTTACTCCATTTACTGAATGTTTAATGTGTACTATGCAATATATAAGCTTGTTTAATCATTACAACAACTCTATGAAGTGGGTATTATTATCCATTTTTATAGATTAGCAAATTGAAACTCAGAAAGGCTATACAACTGGCCTAGCGTCATGGTCAGTGAATCTGGGATTGGACTTCACTCCTATGACTTCTTCAGATGATTGTAATATTCACATGATCAGTTGCACCTAGGAACGAGAATGTAGTCTTTTAATATTGGGTAGGCAGGGGCATAATTTGATTAGTCAGCAATGACTGGGCCTTAAGGGTTCTAAGCCAATGATTTAAGAGATAAATGTATAGCACCCAGCCCATTCCCTACCCCCCTCCCACTTCCAACCCATAGTGTCAGCTTTTCCTGCCTTCCTTTGTAAACTTTTTCCATTTTACCTTACAGAGAACCTTCGGGAAGGGGCAGAGCAGAAGGTGGTATTCATCACGGGACGAGTCCACCCAGGGGAAACACCCTCTTCATTTGTGTGCCAAGGTGAGTTGCAGGATCTCACCAGCATCCTGTGCCTACCCCCACATCTGTGATGTCTCTGCGATGGTCTCCAGGACAGTGTGGTCACATGCAGAGCCATTATCTTGGATGGGAATTTACTTCACTTCTTTAAAGAGGTTACACCTGATCTCCACTAGGATTTATTTCAATAAATATTTGTTGACAACATGGATGGATGGATGGATGGATGGATGGATGGATGGATGAATGATTAGGTAGGGCTAAATTGAGTTCTCTCTTATGTGCTATGTTGAGGATGAGCCTACAGAGCCATCTCCACTCCCTAGCTTTGTTTCACTCGTCCAGTGGTTTACAACAAGAAATCTGACTCCGGGTCAATATGCATGTTGGTAGAAGGGTGGTGAAGTGGGAAAGTAAGGACTGAAAATTATCTCTTCACTCTATCAGTCAGTCATTTAACAAACAGCTTTTGAAATAACTACCATGAGCAAGGTGCCATGCTTGGTAAGCATAGAGATAAATAAGACACAATTTCTCTTCTCAAATCTATCTCTTTATAATTGCATTTTCATTTATTATTAAATATTTAATCCATATAAATATATATTTAGTCAGCAGTATATATATACGTGCATGCATATAAATTCAATTAGTCAGCAACATAAATGTATTTAATAAGTAATATATAAATAATAATTCATTGAATGCCCAGGTACCCACTAGCTTACGACGCAGAATATTATCTACTCCTTTTAAGTTCTTTGTGCTCCTTCCTACCTCCCCCCTCACACACATAACCGTCAGCTTGAATTTTGTATTTATCTTTCATTATTTTTCTTAATGGTTTTACTGTATATATAAGCTTTGCTAGACAATGTGTTTTTGAGTGTTGCATGTTTTTGAACTTTATAAAAATGGTATCATTCTGTGTGCATTGACACTTGTTTTCACCCAATACCCATGTTGGTGAGTATAGCTGTTTTCTCCGTGTATTCTGCCCCATGTCTGCCTGTACCTCAATACCTCAACCTCCCTATCTATTTTCATGGAGATGGACAATGAAGCTGTTTACAGTGGTTGTTTTTCTTTCAGACAATGCTGATACAAATGTTCTTATATGTGTCACTTTATGAACATGTGCAAATACTTTTGCAGGGTGTATGACCATGGAATGTAATTGCTGGGTCATAGGATACGTGCATTTAGATGTTTCCACTACTACAAGCAATGTATGAATTCCTTCTGTTGTACATTCTTGCCAATACTTTTGCATTTTTACTTATCTAGTAAGTATATTATATTTAAAACATATGCTACTATATATGTGCCAACCACTGTTCTAAGTACTTTACATATTTTAAGTATTTATTTTTATTAATTTAATTATATTAATTTTTCTATGTCATGGGAAGTATATTTTTTTAGTTACAAACGTAATTTTATTTATTTATTTTTTAATTGTGATTTTAGTTTTTATAGCAGTCATGTTGGTTTATAACATTCTATAACTTTCAGATGTATATCATAATATGTTTCGAATTCTGTGTAGGTTACATCATGTAATCCAAAGACTAATTGTAATCCATCACCACACATGTGTGCCTAATTACCCCTTTTGTCCTCCTCCCTCCCCCCATGGAATATATTAACTATCTTTTTACATACGAGAAAACTGAAATTTGAATAAGTCAAGTATTTTATCTCATTTTAACTTCAAAATGACCATGAGGTCTTAGGGACATGAAAACACCTGCAGAGGTTCTAGAACTTGAGGGCAGCATGCCGTTGTGGAGGCATCTGGGGATTTTGCATCAGACAATGTTGGTGTCAAATATTGGCTCTGCCACTTCCTAGCAGTGTGACTTCAGTTCCTCAATTGTAAAAGAGATTCGGATAACAATACCTACCTGAGAAGGCTGGTGTGAAACTGGCGTGAGACCAATGCAAGCAAGCCCCCAGTCCTGCGCCTGGCACACAGCAGGCACTCAACAGATGTCTCCTCCTTCCCCGTGGGGACCTCAGAAGGTCTAGTGGGTAATGTGCTTTGTAAACTATAAGGCATGATGCAAATAAATACGGGTTTGATTTTCCCCGTTCATAGTTTTCCGGTGCTGTCATTAGGCACGACTGCCTCCCCTTTGTTTCAGACGAGGAGACAGAGTTCAGGGAGGGGAAGTGATTGCCCAGAGACTAGCAGCTGCTGAGAGGCACGGCTGGGCCGCCCCAACTCCTCGCCCCAGTCACCTTAGCTTACTCCACGGCATTCTCACTTCCAGCCTCTTTCCTCCCCAGCGCTGTCCTTGCAGTAACCTCTCGCAGGTCCCTCCTGGTTTCACCAACCCCTTTACTTGCAGCCATCTGTCAGTTACTAAACTTGGCAGCAGACCTGTTCCCCCAGCCCATCAGAGGCAGCTATTCTGTCCTTGTTTGTAAAAAGAAGTAGCCTTGCCATCAATACCTTCGTCTCTGGGAGCTCCATCTCCGGTGCCCACCTCCCCTGTGGGCAGCAGACAGAGGGAAGGGTCACTACCTGATTTTACAGATGAGGCCTGAGGTACAGAGAAATTGAGCAGATCTCAGGTGCTCTCTCTGTTGACTCGGCTTTTCCAAAAATGAATCTGGATGGTGCTCGGTTAACAGACTCCGTGCTGTCCTGCAGGCTTTCAGTCAATGTTTGCTCCTTGGCAGAGCCTTTTAATGCCTTCCCACTACCCTCTCAAGATAAATTCCAAACTCCTTGGCATGACATTCACAACCCTCCATGCTCTGGCTCTTGCCAGATTCTCTGGTCTCAGCCTCATTATATCCCAGTCCTTCTCAACTTAATCCCCGAATGGCCAATCTTTTCCCCACCACTGGGCCTTTGCACCTGCTGCTCTTCTCCTGCGGCTCCTTGCCACCTGGCAAACACCTCCCATCTCCCAAGGCTGATTTCAAGTGCCCTCTGTGGGCCACCCTGGCCCACTCCCTCCAGCCTCCTGCTTTGTGCCTGCAATGTGAGTTACCCATCTATATTGCCCTCATTTGTTATATATTTGATTAATATTTGTTTCTTTCCCTTTAAACCATGAACTGTTTGAGGCCTAGGGCTCAGTCTTCAAGTGTCATTTTCTACATCTGCCAAATGGGGATTATCTCGTGCATCTCATGGGGCCGTTGTGAGGAACAAATGCTGTGTTGGCTCTGGGATGTTGAATCTCAGTTCAGAAAGAGGAACCTCAAGGTCACACAGCCAGTAAATAGCAGAAGGGGACTTTGAATCTGGGTCTCCCAAGCCCTGAGATGCTCTCTTGCCCCACTCAGGGATGGGATATGCTAGAAGGCTAAGATTTGTGCCTGGAACAGCACAGTGCTCTGGCCACCCCACAACAATTGACAAGCATTTTACAGATGAGGGTGTGGAGGCTCAGGGAAGTGAAGTGGCTTACCCAAGGCCACACAGCTAACTCATGGCAGATGTCGCCCTGAGACCCATCTCCCCAACCCCGGTCTTCCTCTCTCCCTATGTCTGTAACTGTCCCTTGAGACACACAATTCATCCTTCCTTGAGGAGGAAGTGATCCAAGGTCACTGAGCCCCTGGGGTAAGCCTGGATCACAGCTCCACAGGGCTCGGCTGGGCTCTCCTCCTCAGGCCCCGCCCTCAGCTGGACCTGCCTCCCCACCCTGCCTGGTTGCGGGGAAGGCAGGAGAGTCCAAGGCCTGGAAGGACAATGGCTGAGATACCTTCTGTTCTGTTAACTCCTCTTTCCCATTAAGCAGCTCAGTGACCTTGAATGAGGAACAGACATGCGGGGCCTGATCGTCCCCATCTGGCTGGGACCACAGTTCTTGCAGTCGAGCTGCTGACGCATCTGCTGCTGGGAGTGGAGTGAAGCCATGTCCTCGCAGAGCTCTGCAGAGGGTGGCTTTAAGGGAGGCGGGGCTTTGATCTCCTCAAGGCTCTGCTTGGTGGTGGGATGGCTGATTCTCAGTCACCCCTCTGCTGCCTCAAACCCTGCTCCTGGCCTCTGTGAGGCCAGACCATCCTCGTCCTCCAGCTACACCATGAGAGGTCAGAGGAGCCCCATAACAGAGTGTGGGTGACATCATCACTGGAGCTGGACCGCCTGGGCCTGGATCCCAGCTCTGCCGCTTAGTACAGTATGACCTTGGGGATGTTCCAAGGCCTCTCAGTGCCTCAGGTCCTTTATCTTGAAAAGGAAATAGTAATAGGAATCCTACTTCATGGGGTTGTTGTGAAGATTAAATGAGTTAATATCCATAAGACATTTAGGACGTTGTCTGGAATACAGTAAGCGTTAAATAAGTGTTATTCATAGGGGAGGAGGTAGCACATCTTGAGCACTGAGTAGGTGCCAGGTACAGTTTCTCTAATCCTTCCTGGGAACCTAAGCCCAGGTGTGTGATTTCTGTACCATGCACCCCTGGCCCCTGCTTCCTCACTGCCTTCCTGAGAGCCAGTAGCTGAGCCCTCAGGTAGTCTTCTCCTCAGGAGAAGGAGAGGGAAGACACACACACGCACATGCACACACACACCCACACACCATGCGCTTACAACCGCCAGGACCACTAGGACCAAGTAGTACCTAATATTTCCGGCAATGGAGCGATAACCTTTGCCCCTTCCTCCTCCCTCCGCTCCCCCGTCCTGCTCTCCTCATGCCTCTGTCCTTCACCAGTTCCCCCTCTTCTCTCTACGTTTATCCCACACAACCTTACAGTATAAGCATCCACTAGATCCACTAAGGGCTTGTGATGGGTCCTTTCACGTCCCTAAGCCTCTGTCTTTTCATCTGTGCAATGGGCAGAGCTGGGGTGAGAGGGTGAGAACTCAGACTCTGAACTTCAGGCTCTTCAGGGCCAGACTCCCTGCGATTCCACAATTTGGGCCCTTAGGCTCGGCTGAGGGGCCAGGTCAGTGGCGGGCCTAGAGTGGCTGCTGTCATGTGACCCACCCTCTGAGCGCAGCAGAGACCCCTGACTGCCTTTCTTCAGACCTGACCTCTTCGCACTGCAGTATCCTGCCTCTTAGCAGAGAACAGCAACAGTAAACCTTACACAGAACTCTCTAGAGAGAAAGTCATGCAGGCACATATGCAAATCATTCTGCAAGTCACATGCAAATAGACTCCTGGCTCTTCCCATCTTGCTTTAATGGAAAGGGCACCACTTCGAAGTCAGTAGAACTGGATCTGAATCCCATCTAGACCCCTGTGAGACACTCAGCACCTGACTTTGCTTCCCTATCTGTAAGATGGAACCAGTAGAATTACAGGTCAGTCCAGCTACTGAGCATACAGAGCCCGTCACTGGTCCCTCTGTATTCGCTCATTTCCCACGTATGTAGTCATTTTGGGGTCCCCTTTCCCTGAGATTGTGTGATTTCAGTGAAGAGTTCTGATGCTCTTGGGGTGGTAGACAAATAATGTCGTCATCGGTGGCACCATCTATCCACACTGCTTCCCCTTCCCCACTGCATCCTGATGACTCTCTGGGCCTTGGTCACTGCAGAGTCCAGCAGGTCACCACCACATCGGATCTTGGTTTCTGACTGCAAGCCTCTTTGCGTTTGCTGGCTCTCTGCTGTGTCTGCCCCCTACCTCTGCCCCATCTGCCTTCAGGACATGGAGCCCTCTGTTGTTATTACTTCCCTCCAGACCGCATTCCACGCTGCAGCCAGGGGAGCTCTGTAAAGACTAGCTCTGACCCTGTACCTTGCAATGGCTCGCATAGTCCCTCCATATTCCTCAGTTGGACCAGCAAACTCCCGTTTACCTCTCCTTCCCTCTCCATCCTCCCCTCCCCACACCTTCAGCCAAATAAATAAGAGCAATGATTAAAACAACGCACATCTGCACTGCCTATATGCCAGGCGCTTTGCTTATATTAACTCACTGAGATCTTCACAATAACCCACATGGTAATTATTATCATTCTTTCCTTCTTAACTGATCAGGAAACCAAGGAACTGATTAAGCGGTTAAGGCCATACAGCTAGTCAAACCGAGATAGTCCAGTTTCAGAGTCTGTGCCTTTAATGTGGAAGCTGTGCCCCTGGAATTGAACTCTCCGTGAGCAAGCAGGCCGTCTTCTTCCCTGCCTTCCAGGCTTTGTGTAGGAATTGCGGTGCCTGGAACACCTTCTCCCAGCACCTCTTCCATCTGGCCCACTCTCTTCATCCCTTAAGTCTCTGTTCTCCAGGGCCCCTTCCTGAGCCCCAGGCTGGATCAGGAGCCCCCTCTGGGGTCTCACAGCTCTCTTTGCCAGTCAGTACAGAGGGGAGTTGCTTTCCTGCCATGTGCCCTCTGAGGCAGGGCCCTCATATGCATCTTGGAAAGCCAAGCCTATGGCACAGACCTGCCCTGAGAGTGTTTGTGGAATGAGTGATTATTGGCTCAACTAACCCTATACTTTGTCAAGCTCAAATGGATTCCTGGGGGCCAATCTACCAATGGGCATTTGTTAGGTACCTTCTCATGCCCTGCTCTGAACCAAGCACACCGGGAGAAATAACAACAATAAAAGCTCAGTTGTGGTTTGCCCAGCGAGGTCCATGGTGGCCACGCCAAGGTCAGCAGAGGCAATGATCTCTGCTGCCCAGCTTTCATTTGAGATCCTTTACTGCTTTTCCTTCTCCTCCAGCTCCTCTAGCCTCCAGCCTTCCTGTGCCCCTGCTTTCTTCACCCTCCCGATTAAATCAAAGGGAAGGACCCGGCAGACCTGTTCACTGAAGGGACAGACTGATCTTAAGGGGGCTGACTGTCTCCCAGCAGGAGGGAGATTGTTCTCCTCACTTGACAGATGAAGACTCTTCTGCTTTGGGGAGAGAAATAAAATAGATGGAATCCTAGACTGTCAGTGTGGGACGTGTCCTTGGAAATTACTGAGTTCTTTCTCCTAATTTAAAGACAAGAGCAGGCCGAGAAGCTTTCTGGAGGTCACCCAGTCACTGAGCCGAAACTTGGACCCAGATTCTCTGACTGCTGCTGTGTTGGCTTCTCCAGCTCGGTATCCTTGTCCCCAAATCCCATAGTTAGTAAACCTCACAGACCAGGACGCCTAGTTCCAAAATCCATCCTGTTTTGCACTCCCCCCGCTGCCCCTCAACCTTTGATCTAAATGAGTTTATTAACTCACATCACAGTTTCCAGGTGCTGTCTCAGGCAGTTAAAATACAGGAGTTCTAACCCAGGCACACAGCAGTCTTCCAGATTACGTATTATTATCCCTGCATCAAGATGAGAAAATTGGTCAGAGAAAGCTAGTAACTTCTCTAGCTAATAGCCAGCTAGGATTCGAATACAGGTTCCCAAGTCTGTGCTCTTTCTGCTTCCCCAGTCCATGCAACGCTTTTGGCCCATGGCTGGGGATGGCATTTCCTTTCCATTCCTACTTTCTCCAACATTTCTCCTCATATTCCTCTCCGCTTACCACCCCTCCCCGACACCAAAAAAGAAAAAAAAAATGAAAGATCTCCCAATTTCCTGATCAATGGGAATGATTCCTGTTGAACTGTATCTGACCTCAAGCCAAGAGATGAGTCTAAAACCTCACCTCTCTTTGCCCCACACTCACTTCCGGGAGAAGGAGCTCAGAGTGGCTGTAGCCTCTGGTCTGGCTTTGTTTCCTCTCATCCTTTTATTAGCTGCCTAATTGGCAGCCCGATTAATCTGCTCATCTGTGAAGGAGGACGGATCACAATGAGCCACTCCATTTCCAGAAGCCATTCTCTGAGGCAGCGTGGCCAGGCCCTGAGTGCAGGCTGGCTCCTTGATGGAGGGCTGCCCCGGGAGCTGGGGTCAATTAGCGGACAGATTAAGCAATTATTAGCCCCTAACAAGGGTGCCTGGCATCATTACCCTGTCTGTTTACTGGCAAACTGCAGCTTTAATATGAAGACCAACAAATAAATTAGGGCATCTGCTCTACCGCCGTGTCGGCCGAGAAGGAAATCATGTCCAACTGGCTTTCGGCTGCTGCTGATTCTCAGCCCTGGCCTAATGAAAAGCCTGAGATGTCCCTCACTGGTCACAGCAGCTTAGGAATGTGCTCTGGAGCAGTTTCTCATTCCAAGAGCTAAGTGCCTGCCGCTGGGCACAGGGATTGTTCTTCGTTATCCTGCTGTCATCCTCTGGTCTGTCTGTCAAAACCTACTTATCTTTCAGGGCCCAGCTCAGAAGCTCCTTTCTCCTTGATGCCTTTCCTCCTCTCCAGTGGGAAAGGACTTCCCCTTCTGCATTTTGGGGGGGTTTTGTGCTCTCCTATCCCTTTCCAGCATTACAGTCATTTCATGGAATGCCAGGGTGCCATTTTGCCCATTTTTTTCAGGTCTCTGATGAAGAAGTAGAAACATGGAGAAGAGGATGGAAAAGGCAAGGGCTCAGAGTTGTTGTTTTTTTTTCTCACTCCTGTCCTGGAAGTACACGCAGGCCATCCCAAGAATGAGAAGAGTGAGAGGGTCAGTCTTTGCACTGGTTGCAGTGAGGAGGGCACATTCCAGAGGTGGTCACTGTCATCTGGGCCAGATGTGGTGGTGGCCTAGAGCAGAGGGATGGAGATGAGGGGCAGATTTGCTGGACTCAAGGAAGAGACATGGGGACTACCTGATTCTGGGACAAGAGTCATGGGAAATTCAATGTTTCTAAATTTGGTGACCTGGAGGCAAGGTGGTGTTGATGCCAGTGAGTTGCAGAGAGGACAGTCAGCCCTGGAGTCTGGGAACAGAGGACTCTCAAAATGGGGAAAGGAGCAGAGTTGGAGAATATTGAAGAAACCTCCCTCTCCTTATATGACTTTAGCCAAATTCCTTCTCTTCTCTGCTTCCTGGTGTGCCCGTGAGCAACATTAGGATTTAGATCCCTAAGGTCTCTGACTCCATAGTCATCAATCCAATGTCAACATTTAGCTAATGGTGTGTCCATTAGAGAGCATCTCTTAATTTATGTTCAACTTATCCTGCCTCTCCTCCATCTCTGTCTGTCAAAACCCGGTAGGTCCTCCAAGGCACAGCTCAAATGCTCTCTTTTCTAGGACGCCCTTCCTGTGCTCTCCTTCCTGCCCCTGGGCTTCAGTATTATGTCTTGAACCATGCCTTGGAAACAGATATATTTGAAAAATTCACTGGGCAGCACCTAATCCGTAGCCATACATCCACAGTGGCTAATAACATAGTCCAAAAATCACCTATTTAGCTCTGACTGTTTTCCAAGCTGAGGAAAATGCACTCCCTCCTTCTTGAAATGCTTTGAAGTTAATCCAGGTGTTTCTCTTTCCCTAGGGATCATTGACTTCCTCATAAGCCAGCATCCTGTTGCCCGCGTCCTACGAGAACATCTGGTCTTCAAGATTGCACCAATGCTCAACCCTGACGGAGTCTACCTGGGCAATTACAGGTGAGGGGCAGAGGAGAATGCTTGGAAGCTGGTGGTCATAGGAGGGTGGTATGGAAGCAAGAAGAAAAAGGGGATATATTTTTGAGGAAGAATTTTCAGACTACCCATGAGTTCATTAGAGGGAGTTTCATGCTGGCTCTTGAGGACGTGGCTAGTGAGCCTTGGCTGTTTCATGCACAGCCACCTGAGGTCACTTGCTAGGATTTTTTGGGCACCTTGCTGGACCAGTAATCCGGAGACCTAGTATCAGTTTTGGCACCTATTTCTTATGTAATCTCAGGGAATTCACTTTGCTTCTCTGATGCTCAATTTCTCTTATGTAATGGAGACAATAATTGCTTACCTGGCAGGGCACTTGTGAGCATCAAAAGAAACGGTGGGGGTGAATGTGCTTTGCAGAATATCATATAGTGGTTATAATGTTACTCTTTCATTTCTGTGTCTCTCATTAGAGATCATTAATGAAGGAGAGTGGCATCCCAGATCATCTGAACAGCATTTCTCTTTGGTTTGGGCATATGCCAGTCCCACACTCACTCATGCACTCATATCTTGAACGCTCCTTCTCCCGTCTTAGCACCATTATTTACAGCCTAAAATTCCACTGCCCAAGGGATCATCCGCCGAAAGAACATTGAATCCTCTGAGATCGTTTTATTACCCTTATTTCACAGTTGAGGCAACAGACTTGCCCAAAGTCACAGAGCCAGTAAATTGTTGACTGTCTAACTTCACAGCCCAAAATTTACAAGTTTATTTCTGATTAGTCCCACAACTCAAGAAAACACTCAAACTCCTCAGCTTTGTGTGCAAGGCTCTGTATGACCTGGTGCCTGTCTGTCCACCCTCCTGCCTCACCTCCCACCCTCTGCTCTAGCCTCTCTAAGCAAAGCCTAGTTCCCTAGACTGGTCTGCTGACCCCTGAAACCTTACCTTCATAAAGGCGGCCTTCTGCCCAGAACCTCCCCCTCTCTTCTTCTTCTCACTAACCCTTCTTCACAACCCGGCTTGTGCCCTTTCTTCTGGAAAACATTCCCCAAACCCCCAAACAGAGTTGGCCACTCCCTCCTCCGAGCTCCCACAGGTCTGGTTACTGAACAAGTCGTATCCCATTGCACGGACTCCTCTGGCCCTCAAGTCGGCAGAGGGCAGGGACTGAGCCTGAATGCTCTTCGTGTCCCCGCTGCCTAGCAGCAGGGATCAGCATACAGTATATGCTCAAAAAGTGCTTGATGAATATGAGTGAAAGAAAAGGATGACTTACTGATGAAGAAACTGAGGCCCAGAGATGAGATGGGACTTGCCCAAGGTCAGTGTCAGAGCTCAGACCAGAACCCAGATTTTCTGATACCCAGCCAGGTCCATTTTAAACAGAGTTGGTTTACTACTTTCTGAGAGCACGGCAGTTGGGTCCAGCGGGGCTTCCTAGTCCCCTCGGGTAGTAGTTAGAGAGAGCCCACGGGATGCACAACGCCTTAATTAAAGACAGTTTGCTTCCTCTGTTAATTGGCTCAAGTGATGGTTCATTAGCCCTGGCAGGTTTTATGGCTTGCTGCAGGCCTGAGAGCAATGCCTTCCCACCTTCCCCGGACAGATTGCACTGTCGGTGATAATGGTGGTAGAAAGACCATTGATTTATGTTAACATTTCTGTTTAATTATCAGAGCGGCAGTGGTCAGGGAGAGGTCAATACTGTCCACTCCACACACTTATTTTTCTCATCATCTGCTGTCCAGGGATGACAAGTTGGAAAAAGGTCTTGACCTTGGCCAAAATGCCTCCCCTCTCTGGGCTTCAGATGGCCAGTGAGGTGTTGATGGGGAACTATGTGCCCTCTATATGTCTTCAAGCTCCAAATTTTGTGATTTGCGATTTCAAGGTAAGAGAGCTCCAACCCTCAGAAATGGTTCTGTACTGAAGGAGAGCCCCCTACGTTCTCCTTGTGAAGATATGTGATTCTCAGGAGAGTTGGAGGAATCTCTAACCACAGGCATTAGTCCTGTTGCTAAAACAGCCCCGAGTAGCGACAAAAAGCCTGTCAATCATGAGAATTCACTACTAAAGATTTGGAGAATGTAAAACCTAATAACAGAGACTCAGAACTGAGAGCATCAAGGTGTCTTCAAGGTCGTCTAGGCCAGCCCCTCCCCAAGACACTCCTGTCAACAGCAGCATTTCCCACGGTGTGATGGGGCTTGCCAAGGCATCATGCGAGAAAAAAGAATTTGGAGTTCAAGTCAGTTTGGCTAACACAAAGTTAAGCAAAGTTAAGCTGTTCTTTTACAATAAGATTTTTCAGTCTTCAAGATGCTAATAAATGGGAATCTCAAAAGAGGAATATAGTATTCAGTGTTTCCTAAAGTGTCAAGGAACCCTTTTCCTATAGAGCCTGTTTCCCCTCCACCCCTCACTCCCTCACCCCCGGCCCCCAGGGGTGTTAGGGTTCATAAAACACATTTTGGGAAATGCCACTCCAAGAATTCCGCTTGCCCCCTCAGGGCCATGTCAAGCACTCACATACTTATTTAATCCTCACAACCACTTTGAGAAGGCGGATCTTTGCTAAGGCTTCTTTGCTTGCAAATAGTGAAAATCTTCTCAAATTAGCTTAAGTACAGGAGGAAAGTTGAGAGGGAGGGAGGGTAGGAGAGAAGAGGAAAGGAAAGAAGGAAGGATGGAAGGGAAGGAGGAAGAGTAGGAGAGAAGAAGGAAGGAAGGGAGGGAGGGAGGGCAGACAGGAGGAAGGGTGCTTGTCAGAATTCTAGGGCAGGAAACAGAGCCAGACCTCACAGGAACTGATCCCATCGCTGGAAACAGGTTGGAAGGCAGACGGCCACCTGGCTGCCTCTTTCTTCTGCTCTCTGACTTTCACCCTGTCAGCTCCCCTCAGGATGTGCTGTCTCTCAAGCCTCAGTGAAGTTAAACAAACTGCTGTAGGTCATGTGACCCGTGAGGACCAGGCAGGGATGCAGGGCTGTCCTACACACCCCTACGGCCTGCCCCAGATATACCAGACCCTGTGTGGAAAACAGGAGACAGGCCTGCTCTCAAGGCACCTTTCCTTCTCCTCCTCCTCTTCCTCCTTCTTTTTCTTCTTCTCCACTAAAGAAACATGTAATCCAATCTAGGAAGGATAGTCAGGAGATTTAATCATGCAAAGTTCAGATTTAATTATATAAGTATCTATACAATGGTATAGACAAGGTATGCTCTAGCATTTAGTTGCAAAAGATGGCAACTATACCAGGATAGATAATGCTCTTTATGTTAAGTGCAGCAGCATTTACTAACTAGACTGTGGTATATGTTACTAGACTGGCTTACGGGAGGGGTATGGAGGACCCATAGTAAACTTTATACAACTCTAGTGTACTCCACAGTGGCCATCTATAATAGCTGGGAGAATGTTAGTAGATAACAATGATATTATGGTATATAATAAAGACACAGGGCAACTGTACTCTCTGTCTCACTTACTATACTCCAGTTTCATGGCCTTTTTTTCGTTCCAGCCCTGAGGTTTAATGCCCATTCATAGGAAGGCCTTCCCAGCACCTCCAGGAAGAAGTAGGTCTCCCTTCCACTCTCTCCTAGCACTCCGTGCTGTCCTGTCCTAGCCTGGCCCCACATGCAATCATGTGTTTGTTGATGTGACTATGTGTTTAATGGCGGTCTCCCCCTCTAGACTGTAAACTCCACGAAGTCAGGACTTTGTCCACTTGTATTCCCAAAGCTTGGCCCAGTGCCCAGCACAGAATGGACCTTAAATGTATATGTCCTGAATGAAAAAATAAACTCAACAGCAGTGTGTAGGAATTGTGCTGCGTCATGAAGCTACAATCCCCAGTGTAGAGTAGCCATCACCAGATGCTGCCAGCCCCCTAAGCGGCCTCCAAACTCCGGTCGTTTTGATCTGACGCTGTTGTGATATCAACACCGTGATGAGCTGCTGTTATGATTGAGTGAACCCTGGACCCACAGCCACATGTAGTTATTGTACAGCGTGACACTTTTAAAGGCACTTAAAAACCATATTTGACCATTACAACAACTCTTGAGAAAGGAAAGTCGGTTTTTGTTATTCCAACTTGAGCAGAGATAAGACTGATGCTTCAAAGGTGAAGGGCCATGTTCAAAGCCACGTGGTGCCTCCAGGGACTCTCCGCTTTCCCAAACAGGCCTGCGTCTCACACGCTGGAGGTGGGAGCAGAGAACTGGGGTCTAACTTTCCCCACTCTCTAGAGGCTTCTTGTCCTTGGGCAAGACACTTCTCTCCTCTGGCCTCAGTTTCTCTCCTGCCCTCTTGGGAGAGGAAAATGAAGTGACAGGCACCTTCCATCATTTAGTAGAAGCTCTGGGGAGAGGTTCTGTCAAGAATGGTGTGGCTGCCACCTGGATGAACCTGGAGGACATTATGCTGAGGGAAATAAGCCAGCCACAAGAGGACAAATACTTAGGATTCCACTTCTATGGGGTATTTGGAGTAGTCAGAATCATGGAGACAGAAAGCAGAATGGTGGTTCCAGGGGCTGGAGGGAGGGGGAAATGGGGAGTTACTGCTTACTGGTATGGAGTTTCAGTTTTAAAAAATGAAGAGTTTAGCAGATGGATGGTGGTGATGGTAGCACAACATTATGAATGTACTTAGTACAACTGAATTGTACACTGGAAAATGACTAAGATGGTAAATTTTATGTTATGTGTTATTTCAAATCAATTAAAAAATATGTAAGAATGGTATGACTACTGATGCAATTTGAGCATCTGTGGAGAGTTTAGGGGGATGCGGGGCCTAGGAGTCTTGAAGGATGAATGCTGTAACTTCAGGTACTGCAGAGCCAAGAAGCTGCAAGGCGACTCCCAGCTGGAAGGCCATTGGGGTAGGGGGGATGAGCTGAGTGAGTCTACAACGGTTGGTAATTCTCAGTGTCCTGTGGTAGGCATGGCTGCCCACTCACAATGCAGTGTTTGCACTCTCTCTCTCTGCCACCTCCTCCCCG